TAGTGCTGACTAGGTTACATTGAATATTTGTTGGGAAGTGATTACTTGATGTAGTAATCGCTTGTTATGGAATAACAATTAGACCGATTGTTGCCAAAGGGACACTGAAATGCAAATAAATATCACACTGAATCAATACTATTGAGTAGTAGTAGTCGTTCACCATTACTGCATTCAGTCGTTCCTCATTCACAATACGAAACGAACGTAATGATCTTTCGTCATTTCATAAATTATCGATCCATTGTTTTGATGATTTACTATTATCGAGTAGTGGAGTAGGTAGTATTTGAAATATCGATGATGTCATCCTGGCTGTAGTGCCCTTTGCAGTCAGTATTCTTAATGCTATCGTATTCATTACACTGAATTTAGCATCACTTGATACAGCGTTCTTAGTGGATGTAAAAAATAGGATTAGATGAAATTAGATGATTAGATGAACTGATGAAAACGCTTCGTATCGAGGTTGGAGGTTTTTTTTCATCGAGGTTTCTACTGAAATTTATGTGACTTCACATAATGAATATGAATAGCATTGTAATAGAATAGTGTACACGACAAAGTGGAATCACGACATGTAATGGCATTTAATCGCTTTGTATTAGTACTGAAAGAGTTTTTTAGAGGCTGGAATGATAACAAAAATTATTTGTTATTGTTATTAGTCGTTTTTGTAATTGAATTACCTGAACCGGTTGAAGACGTTTCAATGCGATTATGCTGAAGTTAGTCTGAATATGGTGCGATTCGATGTTTGCATCGTTGTGTATTTAGTTGTGCATGCGAATGCATCAAACTGAATGTTTGTTTCATTATTGTAATATTCTCACTCTCGGTGTATTGTTGTTGCGTTATGTAATCTTCTCATAATAACGCTTTATGAACCAAACAACTTTTTACGACCATTCATTTTGTTACCTTTATTTTGTTTCATTAATATTCGTTTTGTTTCTCTAATCATTTGAAATTGAGAATTCAGTTCATTCACTCATGTCTCCCTTCATTATATGCATTCTTTTTGTGTTGTCGATCAGGAATATCCTACTGGCCTCATTACATAATTGCGATTGTTAGTTTGCTTTGCCGCTAAATTAATTTCGAAAAGCTAAAAGATGTTAAGCCCTCTAGTTTTCTAATCCTGACTCATCCGTCCTCTGTTCCTTTCAAATTCATCGAAATGCTTGAGTAGGTATTTTGTGGAGTTTACCATATTGAAAATGATATTCAAACTACTGGTTCTCGACGGAGTGCTTGATGTGTCTTTCATGTTCGAATGTTTGCATCTCAGGGGTCTTGATGAAGCTATTAGACCAATGTTTCGTGACGGTTTAACCGATGAATAGAAATACAACATTATAAATTACAACTAGAGAAACATCCATAAATCGTCATTTAGTGCCATTACATCATCCAAACCACTCTCTTTCATTTCACAAATAACGACTGCCGTAGTTTGTGCTCAAGTATGGACATAATCCGCTAGTTTCGATAAATACGCTCTCAACTCGACGACTGTTTTCTGATTGTTAGATAGCAAAATTACATACGTGAATAGTAAGTCGAAATATTCAGTAAAGGGTCTACTAATTTCGATTAGTTCATCGAATTTGAAATGCAACATTTATTCATCAAGAACTGAATGCACTGATTGGTACAAGTTTTGATATTCACCCCTCTACGCATGACTGATATTTATATGTTGAGGTGAGTGAATCATAAAATTATTTCCATCTTGTTTATCAAAGGAAATTTTCTTTCGAGCATTTTTTCATGCACATTGCGTCTGTCTGTCTGCCTTTCTTATGCCGTTTCTAGCATCATCGCGAGCGCAATCCTGTATTGCACCCTCCCTCCAATTTTCCTCGCACTCGATCGATTCATTCATATCGTTTTTTGCGTTATTTCTGGATCCTTGAACGCTTTTATGTCTCTGCTACATAGCCAAATGGTTGCTTGTTTATTTTTTCATCGATTTATCCGTTGTTATATGCGTTTCTGGTTTATATTTTCGTACACTTGTCATTATCGCCGTTCTTATGTATCGCATACGTACGTGTAGAGTATGTTATCCATTTAACTGTTTATCAATATTGATCGAGATGACTATCCATTTGCGAGAAAATTCAACAACGATATGGACTTCTGTCGTTGGTTTCGTCATTCGATTATTGCAGTACACAACATCAAAATCCGCTTTTACTATTTGCTTAGTTGGTGTCGATAGAAAAATTAACTCCCGAAAATGTGGCGGCTGACGCACTGAATTTTTCTTCGTCTTTATTTTTTAGTGCAGTTTCTGCGCGTGGATATATTTCTTTGTGTGTATCATGAGTACATATCTCGCCATCACGAAGAACATCCTATCCCCACTCCATTACAACGCTTCTTCGATCATCCTTTCACCTACCTCTCATATCGTTGTTCTGTTTCACCAGTCATATTGCTATTGTTGTTGTTAATATCGCTTCATTCATTGTTATAATGAAATTACTCATCAATTATTGTTAATTAACGCCTACAAAAGAAATTATCTAATTTTATGTCGTATTTTTTACTTGATTTATTGCTTTCTTAAGGCGAGAATGCTCAATCCATTATTCCACACATCTTCTTTATCCAAAATCCCTTCGCGTAATTCGTGTTTTATATTTGCTCATGATCGGATTTTAAGTCCCTCTATTGATACTTCATACTCAGAAATGTTTTACATTAACTTTTGAGGCTGACAAATGGTTATAACAAAGTTCTCATCTCATATTACACCCGTTTGATTTGATATCGTCTGAAGCGATGCGAAAGAACTGCGTACTTCATAAACCATTTTCAGTTATGAATTTCCACCGTGATTTAAGTCATCCAACTGCCTAGAATGTCCATGCGCTCACTGTATCACTGTAATGTGTCTTCGGGGACCATGGCTACCCGTGAATAATTTCAATTTTATCTTCAATTTGCAATTGCTGTGCTGAGCAGAAGTACTGAACGGTTCTTATCAGTTGATTCATTAACGCATCACTAATGATTTGTGATGCGTTAACGTCACCCGTAGTGATGACTTGTTCGCTCCCCATTCATTTGTCTTTGTTATGATTGCTACACTATATTCACTACATTCGCTGGAAGCAAATGCCTCACGTCAGCTAAATAATCATGAGTTTTGATCAGCTATAAACACACATTAAACTATATGATACGACAGTAATATACTTCCGCATCTTCCCCTGTGCGTTTACATTTTCGTTGTTAAATAATTCGGTGATTGAATTGATTGTTCGAATTTTTGGTAGCTTCAATAGTAATAGTTGTATTTTGAAGTTAGAATTGATAAACACTGGGCCGAGTGTGGTGTTTATATCTCGTTTGATGCATTTCAAATTCGCTTGAGGCAATGCAACTTTTACTGGTCTGTTTGTTCCTTTCGATGGGCTGAGTTTCCACGATGAACCCTGAACGCTTTTGTCTTCTTGCCTGCAAATGATAGCTTCCTGTCTTGGAAATTTCTTGCTCTGAGCGATTGGCTACACTATTGTGTTATCGCTTGCAAGAAGTGATTAATAAAAGGTTGCACTTATAGTTCGTATAAGTGCACATTAGATCACATGCAGACGTTTTATATCTGCAACATCGCAGTGTATAATTAGTGCTGATATGTCTAATCATACTTCTGTTATGCATCAAGATCTTTAATTATGCTCGTGTTCATTGCTTCGATGGATTTTTAGAGTCGTTTCCGAAAGAACTCGTCAACAGTGTAGATTTGAATTATAAGCATTAATGAAGTAGTTGTTTATGTCGTCTAATTTCCTTTTTTCATCTTCGCGAAACCCATATCTGATTCTGTAAGCAGTCGACTGAATGATGTCAATGCACGTCGTCCATCTGATGATGTCAGTCTTTGCTCAATATTCATTTCGTAAAAGAATGAATGATATTGTTTTCGAATTTCAGTTGACATTCACCAATTGTGCGATTCGACTAATAACAGTTTTACCACTTTCGGATCATTCATTTGCGTTGATCTTGTTTTCGGCATATGAAATGCGTGACCAACAGTAGACATTTCAGTAATACCGTCATTCATTATGCGACAAGTGGCGCATTTTTAAAATCTCATTTCAATTAGAATGTTTCCAATTAAATGACAATTTCGCAATCGGAAGCTGCTCCTTGTTCTCATCACTTTGCTTATTCACCTTTGACACTCGTTTCACTTGACATTCCAGTGGAACATTCTCAAAGTTACTCAACTAAAAATGCATTTCTTTAGTGTTCCTTGTGACTTCTGCCAACTGACAACTTGATGTTTTTATTCGATAAAGAAGCATCCTTTGACTGAGTGAATGGTTCAACTTGAAGTTATTTGAGGAAAGCAGAATTGTGGATTAGAAGGTGATGATATGGTTTTGACGATAGCGCTGAATTTCAAAATGCGACATTCCACCTACACCATCAGCTTTTTTGTATACTAGGAAGATCCTTGTTGAACTAAACCCGAAAGTTCCTCTTTCTTCTCTCGTCGTTCATTGTTTCCTCTGTTTTCTCGACTCGAAACGACGACAAAATATGTTGTGTCATATGTCGATATATTCTGATCTCTGAAACCTAAGTTCATTTCAGAGGTGTTTTGTTGGCTTCGTCAGTATTTCGAGTTTGTAATCTTATTGATAAGAGCAGTAATAAAAAAAACAATTTTACTGTTGTTATTACAATCGCGACGTCAACTGTTTTGCGCCGTGGCGCTACTATGTGCTCATGATGAATTGAGTAATCTGATAAGAAACATATTCGACACAGCAAACCTGAATTAATATTTATCCTTGGTTATATCAACAAACAGCGACTGATATCTGTTTTTGGAAGTTGATCTCACATTCAATTGGTATTCATTGATCTATTCACTATATTTTCCATTAAAAACTTTTAAACTGCTCGTTTCCAACGCAATATTTATCCATCAGCTGTATGTATTATTGTTAGTTCTCAAAATAATCACTTCAATGGATTCATTATCCCATCGACAGCATCGTAGTACCAATAGTGTTGTAAGCGCGGTCGAAGAAGAGGCTGGTGTGCTGAAATCTGGTCTTGTCACTGCTGGATTTACACCAATTGTTCGTTTTAGTTCATTTTCTTACGGTTCAAGCTGAATTGATCCATGTACAGTTTCTTCAGTGAAACGCCCTTGAAAATAATACTTATTATTTGGCAAGCTAATGTGCACATTTCCGTGAAGTGTTTGTTTTATGTTGCTTTAACCCAAAAGACAATTAAAATTTTTGAATCTAAAATGGTCGCCGTTTATATGGGATGCTTAATTCGTTTCTGAAAAAAATTCCCGTTTCATTCCCGTTCGCTATTTTTATTCTCATCAGTTGAATTGAGTAATCCTTTCAGAAGTCAAAGAAAACTTATTACGCGGTATTACTGGAACGTGCGCTCGAATTGCATGAAAGTGAAAAATCGCAGAAGAAAAGACGTCATGCAAAATACCTTATCGATCTATCAATTTGTTTCAATATTAATCGTCATGTGAGTTTTTCTTTTTGTTTCCTCTTCGTTTTTCATGTATTCACCGTTTTTGAGGCATCCAAACACTCCGTGTTGACAACACACCATTACTGAAGCCCAGGATCCGTGTGTGTTCTGATTAAATTTGTCGAAAATAAGTGTTCTCTTGAATTTTGATCGCAACGTTATTCTCGAGGTGTTTTTGCTGCTGAAAACAGTAGAATCCACGAATTTCTGTTTCTACAAAGTCATTTAATATTGCATTCAAATAGTGGCCTGTGATAAGAATTATCAAAAGTGCATTCGACAATCATCGGAAAGAAGTGCATACCCTCTCAGTTATCCGCGCATTCATTATTCTGTTTGTTAGAAGATTTTCGCTTTTGTTTCTATCATATTGTGAGCGTCACATGCTTATAGCTGAACGTGTGAGTAGCAATATCGTCATCAAATTATACTGATTGTGAGGAATATGCTTCTCTGTTCTGCTCTTCTCAGTTTCATTGCTTACATCAGCTGTGCGATATCTTTCCTCAGATGCATGTCTTGCATAATCTTGTTGACATGTCTGTCGATTGCATGAATATGATGCCGACTGACGTGTTTGATCAACAATTCTCTGAGAATAGATAGAATTTTACTGAACGTAGTTGATTGGTGTGGCAGCTGGTTGTGAATTGAGTAAGGATGTACATCTACCAGTAATTGTGATTTGATACGTTGCTTTTGCAGTCTGCGTAGATTCGTTTATCTTTCTGCTCGTCGAGTGTGGTAGTTACACTGAAAAAAGGATGCATTGAAACGTTCAAGGAAGGCGACGGGGAATGGGCCACATGCAAAGAGTAGTTGTTGTTTTTGTTGTCTGCCACATAGATAATATATTGCTGCTTTCTAGAACGCCAAATGCCTGTGTTGTTGTTGTGTTATGGAATGTGTAAGTGTATAAACGTCTGTTTGCACTATAAACATTAACCGGAAACTTGTACTGATTTGAACTGGTTTTTCGTCTTATTCACTACTTCTTGTTTTATACACATTATTCAACAAAACCCAATTGTTTCACAGGCTATTATCTCGAAACTCAGTTGATTGTTCCACAGTTTCTAGAGATTCATGGAAATGAGTATTGTGCAAGTGGGAATGCCGTATATGAGACCTTAACTTGTTGAAGAAATTTATTGTTCGAGAATGATTTTCATGGTTCAAAATCGAGCGCACCGAAGTAGGGAACAGTGATATGGATATGATAATTTTACAATAACCGTCATCTCATTTAGTCAGAAGATGGGTAGAATTTCGAAGATGATCACAGATGGTCATTTGAAACTCAAATATCATAATTCATACGATGAATGCTATTGAAAATGTTGAACGAGCATTGATAATTTCGTCGTTCAGTTGACCAGTTACAAAACGCACATATTTTACCTACATTCATCCTATGCACTTCGAAATCGATAGAGTTCGTGCTGCAAAAAAAGCACATTAATTTGTTCATGTTTCAGTAAAAAACATTTATCGCTTTGTCTTGCGCATTAATTCACCGCAGAAATAGAAGTAATTCATAGATACGATTATGACGGTATTTATTTCACATACACTCAAATCGCAGTATTTTTTACATCTGAATTTGTCGCACTTGCTACTTACTATTTTCGACACCCACTCAGTCCATCAATTAGATCAGTTTTATTTGACATCTTGCTTCATAATTTGTTCATTATTATTGTTCACACTCAACAATTTAATTGCCTTCAAGGACTGGTCGTCCAGAAATTGCATCAGAACATCAGGAATTGTGTTGTATAGTGGGAAGGATTGAAAAGCGGTATGGAAAGAATGCAAGAAGAAATGGCTGAACGATGATTATTATATTATGTTTAGTTTCGTATCCGCGTATTTGATATCCACGGAAAAACAGTCACATACGCTCAACAACGCGGATGTTCATCACTTTCTTTTATTGTTGTTCCAAAATTTCAGTGTTCGTTTTGATTCTGCAAAATGCTACCGTAGAGCACACGCACATATGTATTATACACGCATGAGTGCAGTAAAAAATATCTGGTCTCAATAAAACATTCACAGTGCATTTCTAATATTAAGTGCAGTTAAAAAATGAGCATGTCTACAAATGCAACAAGTGAGCAAATCTACAAAGTCCGTCAGAATGATCTTTGTCATTAACATTATTATTATTTTATTACTTTTATTACTATTTCATCGTTATTATTTCGTTATTTTATTATATTATTATTGTTTTATTATTATTTTATTATTATTTCGTTATTTTATTGTATTGTTATTGTCATTATTATTCCTATTTTTATTATTATTAAGTGCACAACAAAATAGCTTGATGTGAGAAGGGCAATAAATTCGATGAAAACAACAGCATTAATTAAAAACATGTATGCAACGTGAGTGTAACGCCTCGTTCGTTGCTCTTTCTGATTATGAGCGTGCACTTATGGTTAGCATACTGACTACTCATTCGTTGAGTTACTGAATATGTGAGAAAGTATCATTAGCTGATTGTATTGCCGCTTTCGTTTTACACGGCAAAGCGCACTTAACTGTTCATCTGTTACGGAATGCACCCGATGGAACGTATCGTTGATAGCATCGATGAAGGTTTCGAATTCTTCAGTTATGTTGCTTCAAAAAACGTGCAAATGCTATTCGTCATAAAAATTTTGTGGTTAAGATTTACGGGCGAAATCAATCAGCTAACCGCATTTCGGAGCGCCTGATTTAACGTTCGATTATCTCCTCAGCATTAGGTATTAATCACGGTGTTTTTTTTTTGAAACTATTAGCACTGTCTTTTTTGAAACTTTTAACAATTGTTTGTATTCACAATCGATGGATCAGCAATGAGTCATCGAACGATGGCGCAGTGCACTAATTTGTTGAGTGCATTGGGCGAATGGAATGGTAATTATTGGAGCAAAAGTTTAGTCATTCGTCACTCGAGGGTATTGCTGCAAAACAATAATTTATTGGTGAAAGATGCGAGTAGAAATGAATGAATTCCTAACGCAGTGCACGCCGTAAAAAATTTTGCGTTGCTTAATTTTGGGTTGTTTACGTGAATGAATAGTTGTTTGTGTGATAAGACTGAAAGCAATGTGAAAACAGGTCATTTATCTTGCAACGTTCCTGCACAACATAAGTGCGAAAAATTCATTGACGGAAAAAGAAATTTGAACTTATCATTGGTTTAATAAAATTCTAAATTATTTGCAGAAGCATGAAGAATTTGCAGAAAAAGAGATTTTTTTGTGAGGCATTGGAATTCTTGTTTAAAAAATTGGTTTTTCGGGGTTGCACTTTTTGATAAGTTGTTTTATGTGGTAGAATGCACTTGATTATCGCTGAAAGATAGAACGCAAACAGTCAGCAAATGCAAATGTTCTGTGTAATGCAGTATACGTGTGTCGTCGTCTATAGGCGATGTTGTTTTTGCTGACTTTATGATAAATACGTATGAATTTTTGTATTTGTTATTCTTATGCGAATTGGATGTTTATTGTAACAGGTTATGTTCGTATGTGCGTATCGCGAAGTCAACGAAACAACTTAGCAGCAAGAATGCACTACAAGCATTACTTAACTGTTCCACCAATGACAGCAATTTAGCAATTATTTTTGCAGTGTTTTCATGATCGTCATCTGAAATGCTCATTCATCACACGTTGTCTTGATGATATCATCTTCAGTCATCCTCTCCACCCACTGATTCTTGAATAATTCATGAATACAATTCGAGGAAAACGAGCTTTCATGTACATGTAAATATTCATGTATACATGCCTAAACGAATGATGCACAAGTCAGATTCAAGCATTTATCGCACATCTCACCACATTGATGAAATTAACGATTGCATACCAAATTAATGAAACTAAGAGGGGTGCTCATACGAGAATGCAACAACATCGTGCTATTTCAAACTGATCTGAATATTTCGTGCTATGTGTCCTATAACCGTATTCGCAAGACATCGTAAAATCCTGAGTTCAGTCATTCTCAATAATTTTATGCCTTTTTTATCGGTTACCAACACACATGTGGAATTAGCAAGAAGGAATGCTGAAATTCTCGTATGACTAGTGCCATTAATTGTATGTGCATTCATTTGTTTGTCTAGTCATTTCTTTGTTGATGTTTTTCACGAATTCATGTCTTCTGTATGATTTTTTTTTGCCTCTCCGTATTTTGAAAGTGATATGAGTACGGAATGCACATCGTCTTGTATGACAGACACACCGGAAATAACATCAGAATAATGAACGAATTACATTAACGTCTACTGATTGATTGCTGTGCAGTGCAACGGAATGCAATCGGAGAATTCAAAAACGCAATACAAATGTGTGTTTTTGGTTGAGATGAGAAAACATGAGTGAAGAAAATTGTTGTCGAACGGAAAGAAAAATGTTTGGGTTGAGATATTAATCGAGCTATTGCTTACCATACGAATATTTCTTCATTCACTCAAGGGACGTGAACATTCACTCACAAACACCAATCACAAAAATGTAGTATCACTATTATATGACAAATTCATCGTGAAAGTTTCGATTAATTTCAGTTCGATAGTCGATTAAAGTATTGTGTCTCTGTGATGACCCCGGATGAAACACTCTTATTGAGAGGAGAAACCGAAAAAATATCTGAAGAATGGTACGATGTGCTAATGTCGGCCGTTATTCCAGCCAGAGCTCTGCGACTCGGACGACCAGTTCAAGCGTCCGAATTTTTCGGTAATTTTCACAATCGCTGATTGGCTTTGCATTCGAGTTTCCGTAATCATATGGTTAATTACTGAGTACCATTTATAAATGATTTCGGATTATTATTATTATTATTATTATCGTTGCATATATCAAGTGTTTGGGCGATGTTTTTGAGCACTTTTGCACAAAATGTTTTTGGCTGAAATTGAAGTGTGGATGGAAATAAATGATGTCATTGACATCATTTACTCTGAACTTGCAGTATTTACTCAATGATTTAATTGTGCCGAATGAACTCATTGGGTTTTATTTTGATGAAATATTTCAATTTGCAAACTTTTCATCGGAAGTTCTGACTGTGTGGGGACTATACCGATTGTCAGTGAAAGAATTAATTTTTTCAGGGAAGAAAACAAAGTTACGCACGGATTCATTATTCATTAAAAAGTTATAAATGAAATTTTTTGCTGTTATAATCCAATAAAATTTCTTGTGAGAAAGCTTTAGAACGAGTCCTCTTGTTTTGCAGAATGTGTATGGGATGTGGTATTAGTTGACAATCCGAAATTGAAGAAACCCGTACCAAATCCAGAAAAAATGCCGAATATTTGTCAAAAAGAGCCATCTTTATGTGGTCCTCAACGTTTATGTTTCTATCCGCATACAATAATTCTTTGTAAACGAAGCATCGAACCTGCATCAATCCAACACTTACCAGCCTCTGGTATACCGCCCTTTCGCGATACGGATTTTGTTGAATTTCCAGTTAGTTCCATGATTTCAAATATTCGTCACACTCATGATTGGTCACTTAAATTCAATTCCTAAAATGTTTTAGCGAAGTGATCGTTTGATCGCCTTTAAAAAGTAATTCACTTTTTGAGGCAGTATGAACGTATGATGTACCAAACCCAAAGTGATTAATCTCAAATATTTTTTTGCTGTTACAATGTGGTTGTTTTTTGTTGAAAGTAGAAACGTTTAATAATTTTAATTTGGTTCATGATTTCTCATCTTCGAACATATTTCTATGAAATACATGTTGTGTTTCATTTAAAGGCAACATGGCTATCACAGTCCCGTTTTATAAGTTTGTGTGTTCGATATCCTTGATTCATTTCCTGGAATGGTTGGTTATTATTCATTTGGAGTGTGTTGAATTTGCAGCGTAAATTTGTTGCGAGTTTTGGCTGTCAGGAGAAATTCTTCATCATGCGAATGGGTCGTTCATCACCGTCCGGTTCAGCCGAAGTGTGGGCACAGTGTGAGAGTGAAGAGATTGCCGGTGATATACACATCAAACTGAATAAAATTATCGAACGAGAAAGTGAAAAAAAGAAACAAATGGTTAATGGGTGAGTGATTTAGGCAGTATTTTTGTATTCAGCAATTTTGCATTTCTAGATCTTGAATAATATAGAACATTTTGAATGGTGTTTTTGTTTTTTCCTTTTTTATGTATATCGATTCAATGAGCTCGTGTAAGAGAAGGTATTGATCGCGCTGGACTTCATCATAAATATTCCACGACTGTAATTGTTTTTCACATACCCAATCTTCGGATTTTACTTGAAGAATTTCCATTGGGTAGCTGTGTTGCCTTCTCAAACGATACTCTTTTTTCAGTTTTCATGTTTTCTCTTCGTTCATGTCCACTTAGTATATATGATGAAAATGTGTCTTCAGACCAATGCTTCGAGCAAGTCAGAGCGCAAATACCCATTCGCATCACGAGCGTATTCACGCCATTGCAAGTCGTCATCGTATCGGAAGTCAGTCGACGAATCCGTTAGTGTTTAAATTCTTTCTGAAAATTAACTCACAATCCTGATAAAGTAGCCGTTGAAATGAATAAATATGGCGGTTCACTTCTAGGAATCATACGGGAAGTGAACTGACGCTACGGGAAAGACGTGCTCAGTTAAGAGATAGTAAAGCTGCACTGGAATCGTTTGAAGAAATGATGGACACCCCGTTAACACCGCTGTTTGTTTTTGATGCATCCACACAACGGTTCGTTTCGTTTTCATTGAGAGCTTCATTAGAAGAGCTTTATTCGAAATCACTCCCGACTATAATGATAATGACGTTACCATTAACTCTTATTGAATGATATGAGAATATTATCTTAAAGAAACGTTTGAACTGATGTGTTGAACATATGAGTTTACAGTCCATGTTTTATTTTGTATTCATGTAAGCCATTCAAAAACGACATTTGGAATTGTGAGTAGGCTGATTACATTAAATTACATCACCCTTTCGTATGCTTCTATATTTTTACTTTATTAACGCTGACGTCATAAATTACTCTGTTTTCTCTTTATGATTTGTGTTACCATTTTTTTATTTTTATCATTACTACTGCTAAACAAGTAACTGGTTAATGTTTATTCAAGCAACAGTGGAATGAGACATTTCTATTCCTTTGAAGGTTCTGTCAGATGCTACTCATCATTGAGGCGCATTCTCAAGTTTTTTTCGGACTCATCTTTACAATTAAAATATGAATGAATTCTGTATCTCCTAGAATGCTGCTTAATCAGCAACTATGATGTTATTGCAATTACGATGCTATATAAGTATGATATCTTGAAAGTATCAGTTTAGGTATGTTAGTGTCTTGTATCTGTTACTAGGTCAGTTAATGAATGTAACCTTGTCACTGAGTGTAAAAATAATGCCCGAATTGAAGAGTGCTCTGCAGATGTGGTCGTTATTCATCACCGGGATCGTTTTCGGGTAGTGCCACAATAGAATCGGCCCGAAGAAGATGCAATGCGAATATGATGAATACAAGTGGATCATCTTGGTCCTCATCTGCTTGTATGATGCCAATGCGAGCACATAGTATCACCGGCACGAGTTGTTCCACTTCAACTTCTGCACCTGCTGCTAGCTTGTGAGTTTCTTTTCTTTTTTTAGTTCAGCTCGACGTTCTCTTCCAATGGTTAATTGCGGATGTGGTTTTTCCTTTGTGTATCACTTGATGGTTACATTATCAATAAGTTTACTTCCAATAAAAATTTAGCTGTTCAAAACAGAAAAAAATATGCTCTTTCGTTTAAATCATAGAATCCTTTTTTTGATACAAAAATTATATTTAAGATTGCGCACGATGACACCAAAGAGTGCTGGAGTGATAGCTGAGGAAATTCCGTTAGGAGCGTTCCGTCCCGTAAACATGAATAATCATCGTTCCTCACTAACTTCATCTTCAGCTGCAGAAGAAACCGAAGATAGGTTCGTAGTAATGATCACTTTTTTGCCGTTTGTTTTTGGTTCGTGTGGATTTTGGTGCTGAATTTGAAGAGAATGTATCTTTTTTTCGAGCCACCCTATTTTTAAAACACATATTATCAAGTTTTCGTTGTATGCTAGTTGCAACCTCAATCGATTATCGAATTCGGAATCACAGAAGTGGTTATCTATTATAGGATTCGATTATCTAACAATAAGTGACTATTTGATTTCAAAATTTTTTAGTTTTTTCCAAGCAGCGGCGAAGCGGAATAATCATTTAAAAACTTGCAACTGAGTGAATGTAAAATAATGAATTTGAAGCGGAGGAACATTACGAATAATAGACACGGATGAGCACTCAATCTCGTCAAAAACGGCTCATGATCGTGAGATAGCGGCGACGATCGATCGCATGCTGCCAGATGATATCAAGCAGCGGTGTTCGTTGAGTTCAAGTAATGAACACCACCAGTTCGAATCATGCTCTTCATCGGTACGTGCCACTCACTCTGATGATACTGACGATCACAATGACAATTGCTCTTATTCTGCCGCATGCAGTTCGAGCACGAATGACGAATTCATCTCTTCAACACCTGGTGATAGTTAGTTTTATTATTGTCAGCCTTATCGTTGAAACTGTTGTGCTTTATGCATTGCATTTGGTTTAAACGACACAGTCAACTTCATCTAATCACATTTGGGGAAGATGTAATTGCCCATTCTTTACCAATTCTTTCAGCATCTGAAGATGCCTCAGGAGAAAATATGGAATACGCACCAATGGAGATGCATTCATGGTCATCGGGTAGCACGTCACATTTGGCTGTACCAATTCCATGTATTTTTTTGATAAATCGTTATTTTCTTCCTCTTTTCAACCAATTTGAATTCGGTCTGGTTGTATAAATAGTTTGATATTTTCATGGGACTATTTATTATTTTTTGAAATTTGTTTAAACGAATGTAAGTGGACACATCAAAGACACGTTGTAATGTTCGATGTTTTCAAATCCTTTTTTATCGAGAGGCTCCAATTTCAGTTGAGCAACAATACAATCTGGAAGAAATACGCTCGTATGTGTCTGATAGTAGTGATAGCTGCTACTCTTCACTAGCACCAAATGCTGCGCCGAGGTACTAACTTGTTATGTTTATAGTTCATCGTTGAATGTGCTATTCATGAACTCAGTTACTCCTTCAGTTATTTCACACATATCAATCGTTAGAAAATGCATCACAGCAAATGAGCATTTGTTTTGCCGTTCGTGAACTTGTTATTGGTATCGTTATTAATTTGACATTCATTTTGATAGGACATTCTCATTTGGATCACAACAACCACAACGACACATTGCGCGACGGCAGCATCATTTAGTTGATGACGGTTCATTACTTCAAGAATCTGTGTATGTTTGTTACCATGTTTTCATCGACTCTCTCGTTTGATGGAGTTGTTCTGTTTTGTCATATTCATTCGGTCATTCATCAGGCTGCTCGAAAACAGTGATTTCTAATTATTTGTCGTATTCCTCGTTTAGTAGAGAGTTCAAGGAATTAAATGAAAATTTTTGCGGAGAATAACAACCAAAATCACAAGTGCGCATTCTTCACTTGAACAGCGAGCGCAGTTACTTTATATGGGTGAAGAATTTCAGTGCGTCCTCATCAATGCAAAATGGTGTTTATCAGCGTGCAAATGAAACAAGTCATTCAATGCATACGTCCTCAAGCGAAGACCCTCGAAAGCGTGCGTTTTCGTTGGGCAGCAAGTCGTGGTTTCCGTTAGTTTTATTATCTATCATTATCTAATATTCTGCTCAGCTACCCTCTGATACCCTCTTTTCACACATTAATGATGTAATTCTGTTTTATATTGTTTTTATTGACATTATTATTGTTATCAGCTTCAGTTCTTTATTAAATATTAGTTGTCAATATTACCATTATTATTATTATTATTATTATTATTATTATATTTGCTCGGCAAACGATGATGTCATCACTGTTTTGACACTTACATAAGGAGCTTTTGTTATCGGGAAATTTGTGCTGTTTGTTTAGTTGATAAAGGTAGCGTATTATTGACCACATTTCATGATGCTCATTGCTTTATTTGATGATCGTTTGGTGTGAAATCAATTCAAAAACACCGAAACATGTGGCATCGTTCGATAGAAAATATAGTTGTCCTTCAGTACAAAATTGAGTGAACCTTTCTGTGATGGCAGCCCGTTTTCGCGGAAGAAGTATAATTGAAAGACAAAGAAATATCAGATCATATCACAAATTTCAGGAAACCATTTCGTAAATTTTCCCGAGAATTGGTCTCACGTGCGCATCGTCATTCCAATACATCAGCAGGCTCACTAGGAGGTTCGTTTGGTGCAAACTCAACGACTCATGCACACACGCTACACACCACAACAGTTACATCCTCAGCGCATCCTGTTCAAACACCAATTCAGGCGTATATCGCTCCTGACCCATATCCATCTTCAAGAGGTGTTAAAGCATTTCATCTGTCGTTCTCGCTTGTGATCACTTTGATATTCACAGCTATATCATGTATACTTTGAAACTCCTCTTATTGTATCAAATATCCGAGTTTAAACTCTTTTTCATCGGCAGTTCGTTCGGAAAGTACCGGATCAGGACGTTCCACCCCGTATATGCATCGTTCGGGTGGTGCAATGACCGTCGATCATATACAGTTGGATTTTGGTAGTAACAATGCTCCGCTAGGTCGATCTGGCAGTGGCTCAGTGCATAGCATCGAAAGTCCAGCAAGGTAATCTCGCTTTGCTAGTTTGCACGGTCTTTTACCAACACTCTTTAGACGAAACAGAAATGTTTTTTAATTGTCATTATTCGAAGGTTCTATTTGAATGAAATACATTCCAATTTGACAGTATTTTGATTGTCTTTATTTTTTTCGTTTGTGTGCAAAATTTTATACAGTTGTTTAGGTCTCGAACCTCATCGTTCGGGTGTAGTCAACGTTTCGTGCAATCGATTCGAGACCCAGGTGATATTGTTCTGCATACGGTAGACGTTAACGACTCTGAACAACAACCACTAACACATGTGATTCATCCACATCATCGTTGTTCGAGGGATGATAAAAATACTTTGTTGAGACATCAGCAATGTTAGTTTACCATTTTGTTGTTGTATTTGTGCTTCTGTTTCGTCTGTTATTATTAATTTATTTTTGAATCGATTAGCCTCTATTTTGGACGTTGCGTTTAGTTTCAGTGAGAGAATTGAAAAGGTGGACATCAGCTGAAAATTTATTATTTATAGCGAGGTATGGAACACAATTGTCACATATTGATGACTGATAAAATATCAGCTGGCAAAAAAATAGATTCGATGTAACAAGTTATTGCTCGCAGTCATGAAATATACTCGTGTTCAGTAATGAAGCAGCAACTTTTCGGCTGATCATTTGGCTATTTGCAGCAATAAGCAATGGTGATTATGTGGATAGAGATGTGGGAACAGATGAATACGTGTTGAGTGATGCAGGAACGTTGCATGAGTTATCGCGCGAGTTGCATTCTTGTTTGCCGATTGCGTCGTGTTCATCATCGCTTTGTGATGATTCGCAAGTTGGCAATCAACCTAACTTCACCGACCCTCGAAGTTCGCAAGTTTTTGAAACGATTGAAGAGAACATCTCGGGGCGTTCATCACGTGCATCGTCAGTCAGGTGATTTTGGCTCGTTTAATTTGATTGATCTGGTGGATGGATCGTTTTAGAACTTATTGCAAATGCAATCGATGTTCGCATATTAATACTGAATGATCCTTATTGAATTGAGTGGTTGAGTTCCTTAATTAGATAGGTTTCAAATACATACTTTCATTTGTTGTACTAAATTGCGTATCAAGTTCTTTCATTAGATATTGGATTGAATAATGAAAATTATCGTCATTCTTTCCGAAAGTAGAAGCGATTATGTTGTGCGTTTGTATCGCTATTCATTCAGTCTTATGGAAGGACTGAACAGTTTTCTTGAATGCGGAAATTACATTGTTAATTTTTGAAGACAGTGAAGCAAACAATTACATAGATAACTGCTTCAGATCCTCGAATTTTGATGAAGATGAAGATGAAGATAAGAAAAGTTGGTCATCACGGGCCGTAAAAGGCAGCGAGACGGATATTACACGAGCTGACTTCGGTGAACATTGCACTAAACGCGATTATGGCTTGTCAAATGAACCGCAAAGCCAAAATCAGTCACAGCAAATCGATCGACAGCCAAACGACAAACAACAGCAGTCCTCTTCGAATATCTCTGACCGTTCATTGAATAGTCGACCCTTCAATACCAATGATATCGTACCTTCCAATCATATTTCCGGTAATATTTCCAACCACAAGAATGTGTCAGTGACGAATGAAAATGATGTGCTAAATAACGATAAGCGTTATCGTTTAAAATGTCGTGATGATTCAGATTTGAGATACGTACTTCTTGATGTAAGTTGTTTGATTCTTTCACTGGTTTATCATTTGTCAATTTCTAAACAAATAATTTCCTGAGATTTCATAATTTTCGATTTCTACTGGATAATTATTTGTCTTTTTCTGGCACGTCTCTTTTCATTTTATTTATCTTTATTTCTTTCAATTCATGATGGAATTCATCGAATCTCACCCTTGCGGTTACCAACGTCCAGAATCGCCTTTTCATTTAGCCTTTTTTATCTGCGATGAAACTGCAATGAAGTTGGTTAATTTTAGCTAACGGGTGCGCATGCTTCCAATCGTATTCGACGTAAACGTTCAAAAAGCAGTTCAATATGTATCGGCGGTGGCAATCTTGAGTACGCTCAACTGCATCCACTTCCGCTCACCACACCTCTACCCAACAAAACACTTCTTTAAACTCTCTTATCTAACTTCACTCGCCAAATCTAATATCCTGAGGGGACATTGAAAGGACTGGCTGTTCGCATCGGATGATTCAATCGTATTTTCACTTGTCGCAAAAACAAAACTGTTACTTTTTTATTGATCGATCATAATTGTTTCGAATACAAAATGCGTGATTGGAATTGCATGATAAGAAAGCATTCATCACGTCTATTGACGTTCGTAAAGTTGAATGCGGAAGTAATTAAAATTGTTGTGATCATAATAGATCATCAACCTTCAAAGCTGTGATCTCTGTTCAATCGTTTGTAATTACTGAAACAATATCGCTTCACCTCTTTTGCTTTCTCTTTTGTTTTTCTTTTTCTTTTCAAGAGATTCTACTGTCAAGATAATGATTGTTAATTTTCTTTAGCGTTATTTGTAAATATATCGTATGTATTGTGATATTCATTATTTTATTGGATATGTTTTCAAGAATTATTTGCCTTTTAAAATTCGTTTGTTATTGTTTCTCATTACATTTCGATGTGCCTTTTTTATGGCACACCGGATGTACGTGTGACCGATTGAACTGAACAGTTATCCTTGCGTTGTTGTATCTTTTTGTTATTTGACATTTTTTGGGGGGAGATGCGGATTGTCCATTAATTTATTTGTTTAAATAGTTATTTGGAAACGTCATGTGAAGAAACTTCATTTTCTATACTGATTATAAATCTGTGGAGTGTTATTTGTACATTTTGGTTGCACTATGCGAATCCATCAATTCAGTGACAACTTTCAGTTATCTAGATTAAAATTTAATGTGAGATTGTTGAATTTGTGTCTGCAGCGTGTAAGCATGACACGAACTCGAAATTTGTGATATCAGATTCGACTAAATTTTTTTTCACAATGTCTGTAGCTTTTTTTGAGGAGAATCAGAAACGTGTTGAATGGATGAATTGTATTCGATGTACATGCGTAAAACTTTATCGTTGCTTAACGAATATCGCTTATATTTTGTTGAACAGTAGCATTTTAAGCTTCTCAAAAGTAACTTGCATATTCAGTTAAAATTCGTTGTATGATGGTGAATTGTTTTGTGAATATTTGCTATGATCGTTCTGGAATGAAACGAATATTTATTATATTTTTAGTATTGTATATACGTGTAAAAAGGAGTTTATTGATAAGGGCAATTTTATGTAAACTGATTTATTATTTTTGGTGACGCATTAAAAATGCACGGATTTGTTATTCGATTCTTCATTTCAGTGGCATGTATAATCAGTTATGGTTGTAATATTAATGGATATGATATAGCTGATACATAATAAATATCTGATTAATTGAAGTGTGTTCCTTGACAGTTATAACGATGCTAACTTACTGCGCAACGATAGCTTGTGAATGTCGTCAAGACTGGTCAGCCACTGATCGATGCTCATAGTGATTACACTTATGATATCGTTGAGTATGCCGAAGTTGCAATGATACGTCCATTCTTTTAGTTAGTCTCGACGGTGAATTCATCGCTTGATGAGGCTATCAGAAAGTGATAACACTGCAACTACGATGTGGCAACTGCCTTTTGCGGTATTTGAGGATTAAAATGAAACTCAGTTATTCAAGACGCGGATCTGTTGTCACTGAGAAGTACTCTCGTCTAACAAAGTTAATTAATGATGTTAGTACACCACTCGGTTTCGAGCAAAACTTTCCTTCTCGTTCGCGGAGAAAGTTTTGCTCGAAATCCAGTGGTGTACCAATATCATCAATGTTGTGAGCCTGAGCCAGGCTATGATCCTGCTTGTATCTATTATCTAATTAACAAAGTAGAGGTATCCAAGTCATCGTAGCAGAAAAAGTGTCGATTAAAATGTGCCTTTATTTCGTTTGAAAATCGGTAGCTGTGTGGTGCATGTACGACTAGCAGTATCTGTGAGTGCGCTTTCATTCATTAGACACAATTTTGTTTCAGTTTCAGTTTTCAGCGTGCTTGCTTTACCTTTCTGATCAGCCTACTGATTTATATATAAGTATGAGAAGCTCGAGGATCAGACAGACGGCGAAGTCGGTTGGGAAACAACTTGAAAATCACTATGAAACAGATTTCGGTCGTAAAGGGATGGGGTTATTGAAGACATTTTTGAAATATTGTTGTTTTTTGGTGTTGTAAATCATCCGTGCTTTTGAAAGATATTTATTCACGCAGTTTTTTAAAGAAAAATGCCGTGAAGAGGAGGCGAAAGCAGCAGCAGCGCATGGAGGTTGAGGAGGCGATACAGGAGGGCGAAAAAGGGTTTCAAATTTGTGCAGTTCAAAAATATCGTAAAAATATCACTTTGAGGGCAGTGATCATTGCTCTGGAATGAATCTATGAAAACAAAATTTCCAATGTGAGCCAGCTTTCTGGTGCTGTCGAGTGTTTTCACCAGAGATATAAAAATGGTTGTTTGTTTGGATGAATCGACAATCTTATGGATATAATAATTGACGAGTGCAACAAGATGGATATAATGCTTTCAGTGCATCCGTTTCATCAAGTACCTTTAAGAACACTTATTTATCTGTCTGTCCCTTTATCGCTATTTATTACACTTCATAATGACCACCTACTTAACAGTGTTTGCGTTCGGCTACCTATTGTATTTCATCTCAACAAAAATTGTTCACAGATTTATGCGATTCATACCGCCTGATCTGCCCAATTGCTTGTTGAATCAAATTCATTTTCTTCTTTCCTCACACGCCGCCGCAGACTTCGATTTTGATTTTCTTAAGAAAATTTGAGAGTATGAGAAATTGATGACATTCATGTGAATGGATGATTAGTTTTCTTGAATATTGCACCAAACCACTTCTGATCAACTATTTCAATGAAAAGCCGTAGATCATCGCTTTCATATTTACTCTGATGAAATAATTGTTTTGTGTTTTATAGGCTGTATGGAGCAGGTAAAATAGTTCAACTAGTGGTTATTATATTACATTAATTGCTCCTCGTATTTTAGAAATGATTTGATAGCATTACATAGGGCTTATTCCTTTGATCAGGCGATATGATATTGCATAATAGTTCGTGACTAATATATTTACTCAAATCATCACATGTCTGCGATGATTTACTTCATTTAAGTTAATTTGGTGTTGATCACAGTGAATCGATAATGTTGCGTTAATTGTGGTCACTGTGAAGTGCTGATTGGATGAGATAATAAATATTCCTAAAAAAGTTGCAGCACTTCTCCCCTGAATAAAGTTACCTAAACTGTCCACTTTAATACACTATTGTTCCAGTTGAGAAAAAATTTCAATGAAATGTCTTCAATACTGATTTCAAGGGATTTAGGAGAACAACAAAATTTGAAAACTAACCAGTAGTTGTGCTCAGAAGCAATTGTTGTCACCGTATTTACTATCAGTGAAATCTGAAAAGCAATTTTGATTGCTCTTATTTGAATGCGCCGACTGCTGATGTAGGATGGTTTTGATTTACATCAGTTCAATAACCAAATTCGTTCCCTAGTTGATAAGTCCACAATAAACAGCTTGTACTAATTGTAAATACAAAATTTGCGACAAATGACTAATGAGAAAATCTTTTCAAAAAATATCATCAATAGCCACGAAAATAGCTACCATGTTAAATAGCCAAATTTGCGACAAAATATAGCTACCATGTTTGTACAGTCGTGGACCAACAAATTGAATAGCGCAATAATCAGGTACCTGAGGTTACTCAAAATGTTTTCTTGCTAATAATGTTCATACCAAGTGCACTTCTGCAAGTCACTTTGTTGATTTACACTACTAACAATAATATTATCCCTATTCTATGGATTTATTAATGAATATTATTTCAGGATACTATCAGAATAATAAATAATCCAAGAACAAATGATTCTAATACTAGTAATTGATCTAATTAATAGCGTTCATACACACTATCCATTGCCTTATGATTCGAATATCAACAGCTATGATTCCAAACGATTCGGTGCATATCAAACTGATCAATCGAAATATCCGTCTTCCTTTGTGAAACAACCAGTACCGAATTACCCACAGCCACCATGTCCATGTCCAAAGCCATATTCTTGTCCATCTCAATATTGCCCCCCTCCACCAATCTGCCCACCTCCCCCTCCTCCTCCTCCACCGCCACCTATTCGATGTCTCCCCACACCTCCACCCATTCCATGCCCTGTTCCACCTCAGCCTAACCGATGTCCCTTTCCACCGTCCTCATTTCGATGCCCTCGGCCACCAACACCAGTTATTTGCCCACCTCGTCTCCCACCATTGCCGTGCCTTTCTAATCCTTTCCCTCCACCAGTTCCATATCTTCCTGGTACTTTTCCCCACCTGTCCAGAAACTGTTGTCCATGTGGCAATAATCGAAGGGCAATAATTTCCCCGAATGCTGGATCATATCCCAATCAAAACATCCGAATTGATGCAACAACAAACATTCCTCCTTCAGTCCTTCCACCGTCTGCACCTCAGAGTTATATTGATCATGAAAATGTACACATAATTACGACAGGCTCCACTAAAATAGATAATCAACAACAACAACAATTTACCGACACACCACCTTTCATCGAGTCATCCTCTCAACCATCGGATGATCAGATCAAAATTGTGAAATCTGAACAAAACCAACAATTGGTGAACGAAGAAACACCGGAGGGTATTCCTATTAGGATAATCGACGATCATTCTGAAATAATTCCGAAATATAACACTCCTGACCTACTGTCGGCTACATCGTCACGTGATCAAACCAACAGTATCGCTTCCACGTTTCAAAGTGATGGGAAGTCCATTCTTGTAAATCCAGTTCAACCCGCGTTATCATCCGGCTACCAGTACAGCAGTGATGCTATCACACCGTCATATGGTTATGACACAATCCGGAGAGAACAAAATATCCCAGGAAAATACACTCGTCAAGAATACATCGGAAGAGACTATGCAAGATGGAACAATCCGAATGATTACAATCCGAATCGCCAAGCAGCACAGGTATACTTTGAGTTCTTTCGAATGAACTACCTCCTCAGAAATACCATCACAATTTGGCATAAAAATTGGGTTCCCGTTTCATCATATCATGAAAACAGTACATTTTGAATCCATCATGAATCTGTATGCACTGAGGGGGTATGGTAAGAAAAATTACGAGCACAACGAGAGGAACTCTATGTTTGGACGTTAATCATTTAAAAATATTCCATTTCATGGCTAGAGTGGAGCAAAAAACTTTTTATTTGTAAAATGAAGTAATGTATTGAAAAAAGCTGTTTCCTATTAGTTGTCATCAGAATTTGCTTGTTGGCATAATAACAGTTGATTTGCCAACTGATTCAATTCAATACAAATGATTCATGACAGAATGATTGCTGCTGCCGTTGTAATCAACGATGTCGGTTTCGACGCAGTCGTGTTGCAGTATACAGTGCGAACTCTGTCGATACTGATTCGACATGCAATAGCGTTCTTTTGAAACAACTGGTCGTGAAGGTAACCTCGCCCATTCTTTTACTCTATCAATAGCTCATCAATAAATTTCTTTCGGATGTGTTTATGATTATTAAAAGTTGCTCTCAGGATGTGCGAAATCTCATTCACCACTGGTTCCTGCTGAGTGACTGAGTTCTAAAGTAGGCTTCATCAAATTGTCTGAATTAGTTAGAATAGGACTAAAAAAAACTTGAACTATGAATCGGCAATGTTTCCAGCATATAGCCAAAAATGACAGCAGTCAGTCGAAACGGCAAATTCAAGAGGCGGCTGAGGAACAATTCGGTGGTCATTTTAATGTGATATGCGGCACTGGTGAATTCTCGTATGTGGCTCATACACAGAAGTTTTGTCAGTACTCCACCGATGATATAACTTGTTATGTATTTCGACCTCTTTAATGAATCATTTATTTCTACGCCAATTTGCCTCACTGTACAACTCGAACTGCGTATAAGTGTGGGTTCACATCAAAAAACCTAAGCAAATATGTTGATACGTATCATAACATTTGGGAATTTTGAAATTTATTTTGTTGGCTAGATCATCCGCCTGATTCCAGATTAGGTTAGCGCGTTGATTTCAAATAGGCAACTTCATCATTTCTTTTTGTATCGCGGTTCACTACTACAGTGATAACGTTTGTCAAAATAATTAAGGAAAAACAGTTGCAAAAAAAACGGATTGGGCTCGTATAACTGGAGTCAGTATGAAAAATTGATTTCGAATCAATTCAACAAAAAAAAAGCATACTAATACTAGACTGATCAACGACAATAATACACTGTTTAACCTAGCTGATTTCTTGACTTAGTAAAGAATGTTGATTAGAATGTGTGAACGAATTACATGATTAGAATCAGTGCCAGAAGTCGATCCAGAATCGATTAAAATTATCAATTCAACGAAACAATCCCAACACGACACTGACAAGTGTTGTTGAAACGATGATAAACATATCCAACGGCATGTCTCTAGAGTGAATAATAGCGCGGAAAAACGGATTGCAAATTTGGAATCAGTGAGTATTTATCAGAATCAATCAAAGGATCCAGCCAACATGATTTACCTATTTCCACTTCATCCAAACCATTACGGTTTTAATTGTTTAAAAATAAATTCACGCATTTTAATAAATCAATTTATTAATTTATGCTTTCTGTATTTAGAACTGTACATTTTACTTTACACCATTTTAATTGTAAACATATATTGAGAAAGTACAGGGCTGTGGATCACAGATGTGTACACAGAATAATAACGTAAAAAGTAATCACAGCAAGAAATTATTAGCTGACAATAAAAATTTTCGCGAACAATTAATTTGGTAAAATTAAAATGCAGCGAGAAGTGGAAGCAAGCACAAAATGTTGTTACGCGAATAATACAAGAAATTATACCGATTATGCTTATCACTGTCACTTGTAATCGTTATCTCAATCATTATTCACGGTATTTGCTATCTGCTGCATAAGGAATTTTGATAAAATAATGCGCCATTCAGACTCACACCTGATACGTAAAGCGTTCCAAAAAATATCACACTTCAAAAATTGTCCCTTTTCGTTTACTTTACAAATTTAAGAGATCAATGGAACGATTACAAATGGAACTTCCAACGGTGTCAAGCACTGAATGAATCAAGATATCAATTCGCTGCTTTGCTTTTAGCTTGATTTGCAAACAGCAGTGATGGATGCTTTCAGTAATATAGATTGACAAAACAGCATTAAAAAAATAACTGTTCATCAGAAAAAAATATTTGTTTTATTTCAATCACTAATTAAAATTCAATGAACTCGAGACGATCAATGATAAAGTAAAGCGCAATGAAGAGAATAGAGAAGATAGCTAAGTCTGTCCTTATTTTGCTGATGATAGACTTCTAGCGTATTTGACACCTTTTCAGTATCCCTCATGATATAGACTGAAGCACGGAAGAATAAGCCATACCTGCTCAATCGCCAAATCATTATTCGTTCATAACGACGGACATTTTTCCATATCAGAAGGATAAGAAAGAATGAGGAATGTGGTATTGATGATAATGGAGAGGCAATAACTCTTAATGATTTGTAATTACTTACAGAATAAATAATTAAACAACCTTATGTATCCATGTAATGCATTTTTCGCATCAACCCTTACGGAATTTCGAAAGTGGAGGACAAATAATTTCAATTTCATAAAAACACTTCACCCAATGAGAACTATCAGAGGTATTTTGCTCATAAGATCAGCTAAAATAATCAAATGATCACAAAACCAAATAAGCGCAAATTTATCATGGTTTCACAGCTGTAGAGAATATGAGCATGACAAATGAGTACGGTAGCATAAGAATCACAGAATGCGGTGATTACAAACTAAAACACGTTCACTGACCCGTTCTTTGAACTTGCCAATCCTGAAATTAAAATAGCATTAATAAATTGGTAAAATATTGATAGGATACAAAATTAATGATAGGAAAAGAGACTGTAAAGACTGAGTTAATGGACCTGTTGACAAAGTGGACATCGGTTGTTTTGTTTCACCCAAAGAGCCATACAACAATTATGGAACGAATGATTACATTCACCCCAAACAACAACACATTCATCTTGCTTATTTTCAGACTGACAGCGCAAACAAGCATCTAAAATTATCGATACGCTCAGTTGCACTGCAACGATCAGTACTAATACGGCTCTTTGTTCGATCGTAATTTCATTATATAAATAAAGATATACCCAATTGAATGGCAAGTTTTCATGAGAATTATGGCATAATAAAAGTTGAGAACAAACCCATAAGTTGAACACGACATATGGCACATGTATCACATTCAACGTCCCACGACCACATAGCTAATGCGTTCCATTTCTTCAGAACAAACGGACGCTGTTCAGTTGGCTGCAGACATTTATTCTTATCCATCAGCGAATACTGAATTCGGAATTTGTTAAGAGAATCATAAAAAGCCGGCAGATACAGAAATCTAAAAGCAACACAACGCACAATTCAGCGTCCACTCCTCTTTAACGAAAGATTTGCAAAAAACGATCCTTTCTCAAAACTTTGGGTGTTTTGTACCGTGGTTAGCGTGGTTCAACTTATCCGAATTCAACTAACGCAATCCAAACAAGTCTGCCTTCTGCACAAAATTTTTAAAAAGTCGTACTCAGTGAGGCCATATTAATCCCTCTCAGAAATCAACAGGAAATCATTCATTTTCGGTACTTGTGCTGTTTAGTCCCTCCACCC